GTTTCCTCTTTTGCAAGGGGGGGATGAGGGTGGGAGGTGGAGATTGATGATTGCTACTAGTGGCTCCCCTCCCCCCTTCCTTTTAAAAATGACATGATTTAGAATGGACTTTCGGAGTCAACACTCTCGGTACCCTGACGTATCGAGGTTCAAGGAGAATTCAGGATACACTGTAATTTGCTTTGATATTTCAATAACGTCTTTACGTGGAAGGAAACTGACTAGAAGCTCAAAATAGTAGCACATTTAATCACTTCCAGCTGAATGTGTATGCTTACTAATTCATTTACAAAGAAGGGGCCTGTTTGTTTGATTTTTCGTATGCGTGAGTGTATATGGGTAAAACTAAAAGAGTTTATGGTATGGACTTCCATCTCAACATCAGTCTCTCATAAATCAAGCCAATTGGATGGAGAGCCATGAAAACTTCTCCCGAACAAGTGACGTTTCAGAACGCTCATTTCGGGATTCGTAATGGTATTCTACGACGTCGCAGCTCCTCATGAAGCCAACAGAGCTACCGAGACTTCCATGTCCCTCTTTTTCTCTCCAGATGTTTCTCTCTTTCTCTCTCTCTCTCTCTCTCTCTCTCTCTCTCTCTCTCTCTCTCTCTCTCTCTCTCTCTCTCTCTCTCTCTCTCTCTCTCTCTCTCTCTCTCTCTCTCTCTCTCTCTCTCTCTATCTATCTATCTATCTCTCTCTCCAATTCTCTCTCGCGTATAATATCGTAAATATAATATATAATATTTATATATATAAATATATATACATATATATATGTATATATTTATATATATATATACAACATAATATATATATATATATATATATATATATATATATATATATATATATATATATATATATATATATGGGGCAGCGTAGTGAAATCAGGCGCTCGTCAAAATAATACAATTGAAGAAACTGGCATTTTCCTGCCAGTTTGGCAGTTTTTATCGAATTTTTGTTTTTTGGCTTACGCCATTGTTGTCCAATTAAGAACACATTTCTCAGTAGGTTTCACTGAACAACGTTGATTAAAGGCACACAAAAATGTAAGTTTCCAGTTTCCATGGACTAATAAGCTATGGAAATGGCCAAACTTTGGCGGCCATTTCTCGCTAATTCTACCTTTGATACCAGGTGACCCTACCTTCTTCAATCTCAAACATCTTGACTTCTATTCAAGATGGGTGGGCATTTTCTTTCACCGATAGTAAGAACATGCTTTAAGACGATACCAATAACTCAACTGCTTAATGTGTATGTATGTGTATGTAATGTATATATATATATATATATATATGGCGTCAAAAAGAAACTTGAAAATGTAATCACCCAATCTTCGCGTTAAAGCCATGCAGTATCCACTTATGCAGCATACCAATTTAAAGCTAATTAAATTCTCCCTATCTGACACATTAATATTTCATTGGTGTTAAGACACTCAAAATTGACCTTTAAAAATTCAGGCTTGGCAAAATAGTGCGAAATCAAAGAAACGTAAAATTGTCTTCGCGCGTGTGTTTAGGCTCGTATATTGCAATAGTTTCACAACAAAACAGAAAATAGAACAATCGCAAACCCTTCCCAAAACTTGGACTTAACATTAAATACAAATGGGCCCATAATTTGTCTAGGGGCCATTAATTTTGTATATATGTATAGAGCACGAACCCTTTCGGCATAGAATCTGTTAAATTTTGGAAATCATTACCTGCCAGTTCACCTGAAATGCAGAAAGTTGCAAACAATGGCTCTGAACTGGGCGCAAAGTCGCTTTTTTCAGTTGCTGTTTCAAGGAACTTCACATACCAGTAGGATTCGCATCGGGATATCCGGCGCTATTTACTGGTGACCACTCCAACGTTGTTATAATTTGGTTTCCAAAGAAATGACCAAGGGTAATGGCCCTGTGAGATATTTGTTCTGTTATGCATGTAAATGTCAACTTGAATGAAACTATGACGAATATAAAATTGGTCGCTTTTAAGCATAATGGGGCTATCCCGAAAAATGTAGTTTTGAGAAAATTGAAGGTACAGTTTTTGCCCCTTGTTCAGTTTCTTTAAAACACAAGGAGAGTTTTCTCTATAACCAATTCAAATACCCACACCAATGAAACCAAACTTCTCCTATAGGTAGGGCAATGCCCAGTTTTGGTGTAGGTCAAGATTTCTAGAACAACCCGCCCCACACAGCAGAACAGG